AAACTGAAATTGGATAAATTACAAAAACATAACATACAGGGATATAATTTCTAATTAGTGGGGTAATAGCTGCTTGATCCAAGGAGACATCTGACTGCTATTTTGGGGTCAAGAAGGAATTTTTTCTTAGTTTGTGGCAAAATTGGAAGCGCTTCAGACCAGGTTTTTTTTGCCTTCTTTTGGATCAACAGCAACAACATTTGTGAGGAAGGCTGAACTTGATGGACGCAAGTCTCTTTTCAGCTATGTAACTATGTAACTAAGTCAGCCTATTGCCAATGTCTCATAGTTTAACAAGCTGTAGCGCGGCCTTGTGCCAAGAAAAAACATTAAAGTACTTGGGATTAATGGTTGATTTATTAAACCATTTGAAATTTAATCCTACGATATATCTCATTACAGAGAGAACGTAGATACAGTAAGACACATACAGCACCCAGACGGAAAGATACACAGACACATTATCTAATTGGATTTAATGGTACCTGCAGCTGTTCAGCAGGATTCCAGCAGCCAAGAGCTTTAGTTATCAAAATGTGGCCTTTTATATTGAATTCCTTGCCATACCTGTCATGGGCCGTGTTTACCCCCACACATATACATAATGCAATAAAAAATATTTTAAGAATCTAAATATTATAAAAAGATACTTAGTGTTTAGCTAAGCTAGGGATTCACTTTGAAGTCTCACTTTAAGTTGTTATCATATTTAATAAGTGTTTTTGGAGGAATCATACAGTAGGGGGAGCTGTTACATGTTTATAAATGTCAAAATATCTTGCGGATATTCTATAAAGTGTTGCGTCTTTTTTAATTTCACGCAATCGATTAAATCCCTCCAAGGTCAGTTAACAGAAAGCAAGGGACTCTCTTCTAAAGAGGGACACTTGGTAGGTATGATTGACTTATTTTAGTAGAGAAATTAGAGAAGAAATGGTCTCTCATACTGAGAAAATACTTGAAAAGTGTCAGAAAGCCCCTGATCTGCTTGTGTAGCTGACAGCTATTTTATAATCCCCAAGACGACTTTTCCTCTTGCATAAAATATATCTTTTGCAATTGAGCTTAGGCACAAACTAGTCACAAAAAATAGAAAATGATCTTTAAATAACCTTTTGCAGCATATGTTGTAGCCACATTTTATTGGCCTTCCTTGCAACCTGCATGTGCATTTTAATTAAAATGTTCTTAACTGTAATTTGATTTTTGCTCTGAGGTCACATCTTAATCACTAGCACAGCCCACCACCTGACACAACAAATGTTCCCTCATTTTACTTGAAAGTCCGCAGCTCATTTCAATGCCTGCAATATGGAAGAATTATTGCAAGAATCAAAAGACCTCAAAATATAATCTCTACAGTAACTGGTACAGCTCCAACCACATGCCGCTGACTCCAGGCCGAGAGGGGTTATAGTGATTTCAAATAGATTAACCCAAAATGTGCAACTCTCTTTGCATTCATAACTGAAAACTAAATTCAGATTCTCTTCTATCTTGGTCTGCAATTTGTCCATGTAAATTCTTCCAAGACATAAAATGAATGTTTATGTGATTAATGACTGTACGTGCAGCCGTGGTTTCCATAAAGACGTTCTGTATTTGTAGCGCAGTTCAGTAAAGTGCTTTTTACGGCCATATTTGCATGCCGAATGTAATCCCAGCTGTTCTCAATGATTTTACTGTTTTTCAGAGTGCGGTCATACAGTGATAAGATGGCGAATGGCCTTAGCGTTGCATATTCTGGGAGTAAAAACAAACAAACTAAAGGGCTTTTTTTCCAACAACTATGAAGACAAAAATCTGATCCTCAAAGGCGAGTGTGCAAAGGTCTCCGATAAATTATAAACTAGCCATAAAAATAATAATAAATGGGTCTTGGTCAGAGGAAATGTATGTTTATCCAACTATTACAATAAATTTGTGAGTGTGGCGTCTAGAAGCAGTTCCTGTGATTTTTTTTCTTCTGTACGTTTGTGTATTTTTTAGTTGCAATGAGTCTTCTAAGGTGTTTTATGTTTAACGGAGGACTGGAGTCATGCGTAGAGGCTGGGTTACAGCTGTCACTATATTTTAAACACTCACCGCCCCTCTATCATATGCCTTCATGTTCCCAGGGATTTGAGATTCTGTGGACTTTTTGTTTAACTTAGAGCCCTGTCCAGCTGGTTTTTGCAGGAGATGCCATGAAACCCAAAAAGTATTTTCATTTCCATACAAATAAAAAATAAGGACGTACCCAACTGGCCGTTATAGAACCAGCAATGACAAGCAGAAATATGGGAACAAGTAAAGCAAATTAACGTTAGCTGATTTGAGGAAAAAATAAGGCGAAAGTCCTACTTTCCAAGTATCTGTTTCTTTTTTATTTAATGTTGGTTTTCTGTTGGTTTGTTTTTCTGTTTTGATGATATGATTTCAGCTTGTGGGATATCTGAATCGGAGCCTTATATTGACAGCAGAATAACTAGAATGAATAATAAGAACATGCTTTACACATTTTATCTCTGGAATCTGATTAAAAAAATATGCTGATTTAATTTTGTTTCTATTTCCGACAACGTAAAGGCCCTTTACACCATGATCTCATCAAGGTCACCAAGGAGTAAAATTGGTTCATTTTAGTCTAATTTTTGGCAAAGAAACATGTTCATTGGGATATCATTTGTTATTTAAAAAAAAGCTCATTAGTTTACATATTTGGCAAACTACCTCGAAATGTTTGGACGCAGGTAGAAACATCAAGAGGGCTTAGTCTGCTGTCATTTAGTCCATGCGTATCTGACAGATGGCGAAGGATTTATTCCCATTTGGAAGGAATCAGCCACAGGTGTTAAACATAAAACGAAATATGGGAATGGCACAATATGAGAAGTATTTTCCATCTTCATTTATCTTTTCTTTTGGCCGTGGGTGTATATTTTGTCCCCACTG